GATGGTGAGCTAGTTCCAGGAGCCTCTCCGCCTGGCAGCTGCCACGCTGGTATCGATGGTCGCCCTGGGAAGACGGGAAGGGGTGAAGGAGTCGATGGTCCTGATACAGATACAGAAGGTCCCCGGCTCAAGAGCAGGGTTTTGAGCGACTTTAACTCCTGCTGGAGTTCGGCAAGGCTCTGGGCCTGGGCCTCTTTGTGCTTCTCGAGCATCTGTCCCATTATAAGCGACACGACGGCGGGTCGATGCTGAACAGCCTTACTTTCGGTAACATCTCTTGTATCGTGTCGACCTCTTGTCGAATTTCACGCATCTCATCCCTTGTCTGGCTCTCACCTTCTCTCATCTCCTTGACAGCTTCCTCTACGTCAGCTGTAGCCTGTTCGACCTTGGCCCTCTGCTCCTCTGCAGCCGTTCTCGCAGCGGCCGTCTCTGCTTGAATGCTTGTCAACAGTGCTTCTGCAGCATCGAACTGGGCCGTCAAGGACTCCTTGTCAGATTCATAAGCTGAGGCTGATGGTGGTTTGAGATGCGGTAGAAGATATTTCTATGTCCGAAATATAAGTATAGATGGATGCTAGGGAGGAGAATATTAGCCATACTCTGGCTAAAGAAACCACGCCAAACATGATCCCTCCAGACACGGCAGCCATGATCTTCAGCACTCCTGGATGAGACCCAGAGGAGAATCGCTATAAGCTGAGGACCCACAAAATAATCCCGCCAATCCAGTTGGGGAACTGGGGGAGGTTGTGCAAGTACTGAATATGTCGAAGGTGGGTACGACGGTGTATATTGTTGGATTGGGCTTTGTACAGCAGCGGAAGGTGGCGGTGAGTTCGCATTTGAGGTGCTGGAGGAGGCCTGTCTCATTGCATCTTCGATTTCTGAGCTGGTCAGCCCCTTGGACTCTAGAAACTCGATTCGCTTAGCAAGTGGCGAAGATTGTGTCTTTAAAATAATGCGCATGAAGCCCTCTAGTCTTTCAAATCAAATAACCTACGTACCTTGGGATCTGCGAGAAACGACACTGCATTTCGCAATAGTTCTTGTCGTTCGGGTGAAGACATGGTCGCCGGAGTTGGCGCGTCCGCTTTTGGTCCCGTGGAAAATTCCGTGAGACTTCTTCAAAGGCATGTTGAGGCAGCAGCTAGCTCGTGTCGCTTATGGAGGAAACTTTGGCGTATCGCGAGGTACCTTTCGTCTGTAGGAAAATCACCTTCTCTAACGTATAGCGTCGTGTTTAGCTATCTCGACTGTTACACGACCCGACTGCGCGCGAGCATTTATTCCTGTCGCCTCTACCTCAACCCACTCTTTATTGCTCCCCCACAGACATAGAGATGCAGGTAAAAGGCCTGATGCAGCATTGGAAGCGTCCGTTACTGACATGCCATAGTCTCCCGACGCGGCTATGCAGATGGTGTCAAGTTTTCTCGTGCGAAACCCCATATGAATATTGGCACCATCGGCCACGTCGACCATGGGAAAACAACGTTAACTGCCTCCATCACAAAGGTGCTGGCTGAAAGCGGCGGTTCAAAATTCATCGACTATGCCCAAATCGACAAAGCTCCAGAAGAAAAGGCCCGGGGTATTACTATCAATTCCTCACATGTTGAGTATGAGACGGATGCGAGACATTATGGACATATCGATTGCCCGGGACATGCTGATTGTGAGGAGGATTTTATTGTCTGCGCGGGCTGTGAACTCAGGGTGCGACAGATATCAAGAATATGATTACAGGTGCGGCACAGATGGACGGGGCCATTATTGTGAGAAGCCTCGCGAAAATTCGTCCCCTTTAGTCTCACACAGTTTTGTATCAAGGTCGTCTCTGCCACAGATGGACAGATGCCTCAAACCCGGGAGCACTTGCTGCTGGCTCGCCAAGTTGGCATCAATAAACTGGTAGTTTTTATCAACAAGGTGGACCAAATTGATGACCCGGAGATGCTCGAGCTCGTAGACATGGAAATGCGAGAGTTGTTGACCACTTATAATTTCGATGGAGAAAACACACCCATCGTTATGGGCTCGGCACTAGCTGCTCTCGAAGGCCGTGATAACGCGATTGGCGTGGATAAGATTAAGGAGCTTGTCAAGGCGTGCGACGACTGGCTTGACGTTCCTGACCGTACGTTCTTATTCATGAATTGAGGTTGTCGATCGCGAATATCCCCTCTAGGTGATCTCAACAAACCATTCTTGATGCCCATTGAAGGTGAATCTCATATCATCGTAGTACTAATCCATATAACCGGCTAGATAGACTCGTTCTCCATCTCTGGACGTGGAACTGTTTGTACCGGTCGAGTATGTGTATCCCGTGATCAAGTCCTTGGACCTCAGCTCACGTTCCTTAGGTCGAGCGAGGTACTGCAATTAAAGGTGCTGAAATTGAGATCATCGGCCTCGGAGCCAACCTGAAGACCACTCTGACCGGCATTGGTAGGCCCACGCCCTCCTCTTCCGTTCTAGGCTATAACCTACCGCAGAGATGTTCCACAAGGAGCTTGACCGAGGTGAGGCCGGCGACAACATGGGCGCACTGCTCCGTGGTATCAAGCGCGAGCAAGTCCGCCGCGGGCAAGTTATTATCGCTCCGGGAACGATGAAATCAGTCAAGAAATTCCAAGCCCAGGTTTATGTACGTCTGCGCACGTCAATAATATATCATATTTCGGTGCTAATTCTGCCCTTGCGTGGCCCAGGTGCTCACAAAGGACGAAGGTGAACACATTCATATTCTAACCAGGTTACTGATTATTGACACGGATCACAGGCGGTCGATACACCCCCTTTATGAGCAATTATCGGCCGCAGCTCTTCATCCGCACTGCCGATGTAACAGTCGGTTTGACGTTCCCAGAAGGGACAGAAAACCCCGAGGAAAAGATGGTTCGTCCGGCCTCCAGGTTTTCGATCGCATCTGAGACATTTCATCCTATAGGTCATGCCCGGGGAGAACATAGAATTGGTCTGCGACCTTGTGCATGATGTACCCGCAGAGGTTGGCTCGAGGTTTACCTTACGAGAAGGCGGCAAAACCAGTAAGCTGCCAGGTTTGCTGTGTCATGCCACTGTTTTGATCACCGTATTGCAGTCGGTACGGGGCTCGTGACCAAAATCCTGTGAGGTGCATGCGTGGAGCCTTGCGCAAAAATGCATTGCTAGGGACCATTGCTGTACTTGTATCGTAGATGGAATCCCCACTCTGGCTGAGGAGAAGAGGAATGCAGTCCTACATTACAGTCATGTATTCTCAAATAAGCACAGCAGGCACCAATTGCGAGACGCGCCAATATTCGCTACTCCGGTCCGACTTTTTTGCGACTTTTTTTTCTCTGCAAGCATGTTACCAGCCCTGCGTCTCGCGACGTGTCCAGCTGCCATACGTTCACACGTGGCAAGCACACGCTCAGTGCTTCCTCGCAAGGCGTGGTTGGTCCGGTCGGTCGTCAGTGCGTCAAAGAAAAGCGCAAAAAAAAATTTCGCCCATTCACTAAAACTTGCATGCACAGCCAAGCGATACACAGAGGAACATGAACTGATAAGCTATGATGATGCGACGTCAGTAGGCAGACTGCATATCACAGAATACGCGTCGAAGAGTCTGGGCGACGTGGTATTTGTGGAGCTACCAAAGAAAGGGAGAGATGTCGCGAAAGGCGGTAAGTTTATATGACTGGCTGCTGAACGGGCCAAGACGCTGACACGAAGAATACAGAACAAATTGGGGCGGTAGAGAGCGTGAAAGCGGCGTCAGACATTGTTTGAGCTTATTGCTTTCAGTTCGGCGTAATCTACGCTAAGCGGGGCCTCATTCCACAGTACGCACCCGTATCTGGCGCAGTCATCGAGATCAACGAGAGCCTCGGGGATAGACCCGGCTTGATGAGCTCAGACCCCGAATCGGACGGTACGTGAGGCGAGTGTTGCAAGGGTTTTGGTATCTGAACAGCGTTCTGCGACGCGTAGGCTGGTTGTGCGATCTCAAACTCACGAAGCCGGATGAGGTACGTGGATGCATGGAATCTCGGGCTGCGCATGTGCTGATATGGTCTTGACAATTACGCGTAGCTGGAGTCGCTCCTGACCCCAGAAGCGTACGAGAAGTTCTGCGAAGATAACTGAGCGGCAGCAGCGAAGCAGCAGGGTCTGCAGCAGCAAAATAGATTTCACACAACACTCAACTGTTACCGAAAGAGACCGAATGGGCACTTATCTACCAAGGTTGTACTATCGGCGCGTCCGACATGTAGTTGTTCTCCGGTCTGTGATTAGAAGGAATTAGAGCTCATTCACGCGATGACCCTCTCCGCAAGAATAATTGTACATCTCATGCTCTATGCGAGGTAGCCACATGCCATCCGATCCATCTCCATTATTTGGAGGGCTTATATTCCACACTCTCGCCACGCGCTTCCATGCGTGCCTTTGCTTCCTTCAATGCCCACGTCTGTATGCTGCCATATGATTCAGGCAACTGAAGCGCCATTCACGGGATTCGGGCACGCACCTGGTATCTGGCTTGTAGTATAGCCCTACAGCCGCAAGGGCCATGGAGCCGAACATGCCCCAGTAGAATATCAGCTCCCACTCCTCCCGCTTGCGTTTCTGGCCGGGGAGCGGTGGCTAGCGCGGAGGTGGGGACGAGTCAGCGGGGGCCCGCGTGGAGTGTCGAGTGGCGTGCTCACTTTCTCTCCAAACAAGTAGCCAGTTGGCTCATTATACTGAGGTGCGCCATGGCTCGCATATTGGCGTCGCGCGATATTTGAAGAGATGCGCGAGGGCAAGGTGCGGATGGGTAGTGTTGGGGGCATGGCGTCACGTTAGGAGGGTGAGGTCACGCTCTGTCACACGGATAGGGCTGCCGCATTGTTGTAATAATAATAATGACTTGGGTCATGGGCGGAACTGTCTCTCATGGCGTTTGCAGAAGAACCAGTAGTATTAAGTAGCTGATCGCACGTGCAAAAGGCAAAAAATAATACTACCGCGTATGGGGATCGAACCCATAAGCTTCGCCTCATTATTACGCAATAAACGTAGTAGGAAAGCGACGCCCTACCATTAGGCCAACGCGGCCTGGAAAACATGGCTAAAACACTGATACAGATACGATCAACGTTTGCTGTAGACAAGACAAGCGCTTAATTTTTGCTTGTTCCATCAACGCTTTCCTTTCATTACTGGCGATCATGGCGAGCACAATGGCGGCCACACTGGCTGCGTCACTGCCCGCGCCCCAGGCTGCGCCGACGCCTGCAGCACCGACGTACGCCGCGATTCCCGCATCCATGTCAAAAATCATAGACACCGAAGGCGAAATACCTATCACGAGTGTGCAGCTTGACGGGTTGGTGCGTGGACACACCCTGCGCCTTTGGGTGGAGCTGATGCATGTAGTGCAGGTCGTCAGCAAAATCATAAAGCATAGCCGTGATTCGCCTGCACATCATATATCCTCGTCGTCCTCCGTCGCGTATGGGTTATTGTTGGGGCTAGACTTCGATGGGACGCTGGAGATATCCAACTGTTTTGCCATGCCCCATTCGTCGGACGAGGAGGAGCGCACCGGGAAGGCGGCAGGTGTGTTTGTGCGCTAGACCTGCAATGGTGGCGTTCATTTTATTTTAATGTCTCAGCACGCTATCAAACGTCGATGCTTCGTTCTCTGCGAGAGGTTCACGCGGACGACAGCATCGTTGGGTTCTACCAGTCGACTACGCTTGGTGCCTTTTTCTCGCAGACGCTGGTAGAGTCTCTGGCGACACAGCGAGAGAAGCTCCGGCGAGGTGGCGTGGTCGTCGTTCACGGTAGATATACTATTTTGTCTCATGACGCACAAGCTGCTTACCCAGCGGCCAGATATATCTCAAACCGCCCGGGGCAATGCGGCATTTCGGGCATTCCGTTTAACACCCACCTTTTTGGAGGCTCACAAGGCGGGGAAATTTTCCACGCAGAGGTGCGCCCCCCGGGCACAGCTTCGTGGCCCTGTGACTGAGGCTCATTTTCTAGCTTGATTGATCATCGGCTCACTTTTTCGTCGATTCTCGAGGAGGTCCCTGTGGTTGTTCGTACTTCGGCGCTGCTGAATGCGTTTCTTGGAACACTCGCCGAGCCATCTGCGGATGCACTGGTGAACGCGGGCGAGTTTCCTGTGCCGACGCTGGCTGTTCCGCCGTCGTCGCTGCCGCCGTCGTTTGCGCCGTTGGACCTGGAGGCGCCGCACTATCTGACATCGAACCTGGAGCGGATTGTAGAGGGGCTAGACGACTACAAAAACGAGGAGAACAATTTGGGGTACCTGTCGCGCCAAATTGCGCGGGAAAAGGCGCGGGCCGACACATATGTGCAAAAGCGGCGGGACGAGAATGCCACGCGGGTAGCGGCTGGGCTGGCGCCGCTGCCGGAAGAGGATGTGGCGCGACTGTTCAAGGTGCCCCCGGAACCAAGCCGGTTGGAAAGCATGCTATTGTTAGGACAGGTTGATTCGTATGCGAGGACGCTGGAGGGCCTTGCAAGCAGCCAGGTGGTGAAAACGTTTGCAACGCGTATCTAGGATACGTACCGCGCTGTGTAGTGTAGCAGCCTTGCAGAAATCATGTTGGATTCCTCATGTTTGGCGACGGGCAATATTGCATCCGCGCCGCGCCGGCGCCCGCGCTGCGGACAAAGGACATGTGGGTTAAGATTCCGACCGCATCTTACCGCTGCAGAAAATATTTAAAGGGCTGGGGAGGTAGTCCGCTCTGCAGTCCACTTTTCTGCAAGACTCATTCCCTACGTGTTCATTGTCAATCTTTTCGCCTTCGCCGCCGTTCGCTACAACGTTCTTTCGCCGACCCCATTACGAGCAGCAATGTACATCGCAGCCACCGTCCTCGCCTCCCTCCTCCTCTCCGCCGCTGCCCTCGCGACCCCCAGCCATGGCGTCGTGCGCCGTCACCAGCACGCAGCCCTTGCCAAGGTCCGTGCCGCGGCGCCGGCCCCGGTCGCGCAGCCCATGGAGGCCAGTGCTGCAGCGCCGAAGCAGCGATTGCGGAAACGGTGCAAGGCCCGGATGAGCAGTACTGGCCTCGCATCGACCCCCGCGGCCAGCCCCTCGCCCGCGCCCGACTCCACCTCTTCGCCCTCCGGCGCGAACCTCGCCCCATCTCAGCCCCACCCGCCTCCAGCCGCCACCACCACCTCCTCCTCCTCCGCATCCCCTCCCCCAGCCCACACCTCCGCTCCCGCACCCACAACAACCCAGGATCCCTCTCCCTCCCCATCGCCATCGTCGACGGCCCCGTCTTCGAGTGGCGGTGGCACCGCGTCCTCCAGTCTTTTCACCGGAACCCAGACGGGTGGACAGGGTACGATTCCATATGACATTCGCCTTGGCGTTAGGTCTTACCACGCTCCCAGGCACCTTCTACGGGACTGGCCTGGGCGCCTGTGGAATTACGAACCACGACACTGACCACATTGCTGCTGTCAGCGAGATCCTCTTTGACGGCTACCCGTTAGTCCCGTCGCTCGCCTTCCTACGTACACCCCTCTCACTGTCATTGCAGCGGGTACAATGAAGTGAACCCCAACTCTAACCCGGTGTGTGGGAAAAAGGTCAACGTCTCTTGTGAGTCAATCGCGCCCTCGTACGGCCATCCCGTCCTTAGCCACTCTCCTCCCAGACCAAGGCAAGACAACCAGTGTTACGATCACCGACCGGTGCGTCGCGTGCGGCCCCAAGGATCTTGGTGAGTGCCTATCACATGACGCCTGGCCGGCAGCCGATCCCCGCCCTTAGATTTCAGCCCTGCGGCCTTCGACGACCTCGCAGACCCTTCGATCGGGCGCATCTCAGGCCTCTCGTGGACCTGGGAGTAAACGCGCCAGGTCCCACGGTCCATGACCACCGGGTCACGCCCGTTTCCTTTTTTGTCATGTTCTGTGTCGTCTTTCCACTTGACGCATTCCATGCGGTGGGTGCGTTGCTCTTGACGGGCCTGGAAGTGTGGGGTGCGGGGTGCCCCCTCGTGTCTAGTGCTGGCCACTAGACTGCGCGTTGGATCGCTGGATCGATCTTCGCTGCTCGTCGTGATCCTTATTATTATGTCCTCTGCGCCCAGCTAGCAATAGAAATTGCTCTGTTTTAACCGTCGCGTGCAAGTGCCACTGACGAACGCGGTGCTAATTAACGGCTAATTCGGTAACGGCGTCACACCCGGTCAAGTCGCATACTTACTCGGGCATTCCATCTGAGTCTGGGAGAGCGGTGTCTCTGGCCGAGGCTCTACTATTAGTAGTGTCCCCGAACTCGCTCCACTACACCCTGACTCGCCAAAGCGCTAAAAAGAAAAATGTCGCTTTCGAAGAGCTTTCTCCGCTACCACCATCCCCTCGTGGCACCTCGAGGTAGATGACTTCTTTCCCACCCACCTTTCCCTTTTCCTCTTTCCTAGCGCTTTGGGTGTTGGAGTTTCCGCACCCCCGCGGGTCAATTGATTCGGAAACACGTGAGATCTGACGGGCCCAGCACCAATCCAGTCGTCGCATGACATCACATCGGGACCACCCGCGTAGCCAGCTGCGAACGTGCTCTTCTCCCCCAAAACTTGCCTAGTCAAGTCCGAGCGGACCAACCCATTAATCAGCCTGCAATACTACTGTATTTAAATAAGGGTACAATTTCTCAGCTACGCGGCACCTCTGGGCTCAAGCCGTATGTATACATTGAACCGTTCATTTTGACGCTAGCCCGAGAGCTTCAACTTTACAACCAGCATGTTCAAAGATACTTAGTGATGGTTAGTAGTGCCATGCAACATGCAACATGCAACATTGACATGTACTCACCAACGTTGCAAGGCTCTGAGTTCACAATTTATGATGAGGATCGAAGTAGACGTAAGTCCCAGTGAAAAGTGCCTCTGGTGGGATCTGGTGGGATCGGGAAACGCAGATACCAAATTATCTTAGTAAGTGTGCAATTCCTGAAACTCAGAATACTTTTCTCAAACCAGAGAATTAGTTGTGAAAACATCGAAGAAACTCCAGGAAAAAGTTCCGTGAATCTGCGAATTTGACTTAGGTAGATATTTCGTCGAAGTTGCAAATTGAAATACGCCTAGCTAGTCATTCGACTCGGAGCCCAGCCGGCGTATATAGTTCGTGCGTCGAAGTTGTTTTCGTTTCCCTCTTCTCTGCACGTCACCCGCCACCATGCCATCGCTAATTCACTACACGCAAAGTCGCCGCCCTGTTGGCATCGTCGTTGAGTCTAGTACACTCTGATCTCGTGTATCACTGCACTCCTGACTATGTATCACCTCAGCAGCCTCTGCGTGCTCGCTCGATAGCGTAGCTCTCCGGCTCCACAGTCGTGTGACTCGCCTCACGTTATGCACCTGCGTGATCCTGAGATCGTGCCGCCAGCAGCTGCAGTGCTCGGAGGCCTCCGCTGTGCGTCTGTCTCGCGCGCAATATCCTAGCTGTTGGTCCCTGCTTTCTTGCTTCTGGCGCCTGTCTTGTCCTCTGCACTAGTCTCAGAATGAGCATCACCTGCACCCCCCGCCACCCCCCCCCCCCCCCCGCGCGTGCTCCACGCTAAACGCGAAACGTCCCTCAGCCAGCAGCAAAGTACATACGTGTGGCTTCGAGGTGAAAGCAGTACAGCGAGCCGCCCGCATCTGCGATGTCGTCCACCCACTAGAGACGAGGGAGAAGGTGGGAGCCCGTGTGAGATGAACGGAATGTGGAGCGGACCTTCTCGGGGTCAGAGACCATCATGTGGCAGTCCATGGATATCCCGGGCACGCCCTTGCTCACGCATTTGAGAACGGGGGCACCTGGTGCGGTGCGGTGAGACGAGCGTATCTCGGGTGGCACGGTGCACGTACCCATGGCGATGTTTGGCACGAAATGCCTGCAACGTTGCGTGATAAGTGCGGTTCGCGCTCCCAACGAGGAAGACGTTCACCCGTCCATGACATCTGTGATGTGGGCGTAATAAGAAGAGTTCGCTACAGGGGTTCGGCTGTCGTCGCGCACCCATGTGAAGCCATTCAGCACCGTCTTTGATCATCCGCTTGCATTCT